TTGCATGTTTCACAATTTTTTATTTCTTGATCAATTTCGGTATTGATTCCAGGCCACTATACATAATCTCTTGCTAACATTTTGGTTTTGCCAGCTCCTAAATGTCCTTTATGAAGTTCCTCTAATATCTCTTTTCTCATTTTGTGTGGTATGATGATTCGGTTATCTTTAAAAAGAAAATCTTTTATTAAACTTATTTATACTTCTATATCTTTGTATGTTTTATTCTTTATGTATTCTCCATTCCTGATGTTATTTATTATTTTCATTAATTCCTTATCATTATTTGTTTCTTTCGATATTCTTTTGAAGTTTATTGGTATATCCCATAAATCATTATTTACATCCTTATTTTCTATATTTTGTACAGTGTCTTCGGAGTTAATTTGTGGTAATCTAGATAAGCAATCTGGTACTTTGTTGTATTTTCCCGGTCTGTGAATTATTGTAAAATCATGAGCTCCCATTGCTAAATTCCATTGAAGTCTCATTGATATCGTGTTGTTATCTTTTAATCCTGTCGTAAATATGTATATGAGTGGTTTGTGATCGGTGTAGATTTTAAAGTTGGTGCTTATTAAGTATTTCTGAAATTTTTTTATTGCATATATTATTGCTAATGCTTCTCTTTCGATGTTCGTATAATTTATTTCCGCTTTTAATAGAGTTCGTGACGCGAAAGCTATGGGTTTTTCTTTACCATCTTTCTCTATATGAAATAACACGGCTCCTAAGCCTTTTTTCGAAGCGTCTGTTGCTATGCCTATTGGTAATTCTGGATTATAGAAATTTAATGTTGGCGGAGAGCTTATTAATTCTTTTATATCATCGAAACTCTTTTGATGTGCTTCTTCCCATATCCATTTGTCTTTGTTGACTATTTTGTACAAGGAATCTGCTTTGTCTGCGAAGTCATGTAAAAATTTTCGGTAATAACTGGCCATGCCAAAAAATGTTGCTAATTCCTCTTTGTTTGTTGGTGTAGGCATGTTTGTAATTGCTTTAATTTTGTCTCCATTTGCATGAATACCTTTATCATCTATATCATGTCCTAAAAAACGTATTTCTTTTTTGAAAAATATACTTTTGTCGAAATTTGGTATTAGCCCATATTTGGAAATTCGGTCAAAAACTTTTTTTATATTGTTTAAATGATCTTGATCGTTATCACCCGTGATTAATAAATCATCAATGTATAAAATAACATTTTTCATATCACCAAAAATTTTGTCCATAGATTGTTGAAAAATTGCCGATGAAGTTTTTAATCCGAATGGTAGTCTTGTAAATCTGTAGTATCCTTTGTGTGTCGATATTGTAAGTAAATCACGCGATGTTTTGTGTATAGGGATCTGAAGGAACGCTTGCTTGAAGTCTATTTTTGAAAACTTCTTCCCTTTAGATAATTTTGCAATCAAGTCATTGATACGTGGTATAGGATATTTAAAATCTTCCAATGCTGGATTTATCGTATTTTTGAAATCTGCACATAGTCTTAGCGAACCATTTTTTTGAAAACTGGTGTGAGTGGACTTGCCCATCGCACATCATCCACCGGTTCTATTATTTTATCATCAATCCATTTTTGTAATTCATTTGTAATTAAATCATAACCTTTGTACGGGACACGTCTTGGTGCTATAATTTTTGGTATTGCATTTTGTTTCAAATGTAGTTTGACGTAGCTACGATTTATTGATTTGGAGTCACTTTATCACGCGACACTTTATCACGCGACACTTTATCATGCGACACTTTATCACGACGACACTTTATCACGACTTTATCACGACGACACTTTATCACGACTTTATCACGACGACACTTTATCACGACTTTATCACGACGACACTTTATCACGACGACACTTTATCATGACGACACTTTATCACGACGACACTTTATCACGACGACACTTTATCACGACGACACTTTATCACGACGACACTTTATCACGACGACACTTTATCACGACGACACTTTATCACTCAGTCATTTGATAACGCGACACTTTATCACGCGACATTTTATCATGATATACTTAAAACTTAAATTAATATAATTGAAAAGTTAAATTTTGATAATATCTCATTTTTTGACTTTCATCATGATATACTTAAAACTTAATTTTATATATTTGAAAAAATTAAATTTTGATAATATCTCATTTTTTGACTTTTCCGTCTAAATTCCAATATTTAAATTAATTTTTTATGTTAACGCGACACTTTATCATGATATACTTAAAACTTAATTTAATATATTTGAAAAAATTAAATTTTGATAATATCTCATTTTTTGACTTTTCCGTCTAAATTCCAATATTTAAAAAATTTAAATTAATTTTTTTTATTGAGAAAAAAAAACTCATATTCTAATTTACATAAATATAATTTTTTTTAACTTAATTATCATCTTATATAGGGAAACAGGAGACAAGCAATAATTTTCTATTTATACTTTTTATTAATAAGTAACTATAAATCAATATATCACGAGTAAAAAATATAAATTATTTATAATATATTTAATTGCACGAAATATGGGCAATAGCTTTTAAAAATATTAAAGAATCCGACAATCCATAATTTGAAACACAAATCTGAATTCGTCTTTTTATATCTTCATATTTCTTTGATAAGTACGGTGTTGTTCCCATCACGACTTTAAGATATAGAGCGTTTTGTTTCTGCATATCTTTTTGTATCCCATCTAAAAATTTCCATAGTGTTGGATGAGAAAATTGGTATAGGGATTGAATTCCATAGTGCCACCCTTCAACACAATTTGTTGTTCGGGCGACACCTTCTAACGTGGAATTGTGTTTATTCTATAGTCTTACATTATATAAAGGCGCTGCAAAGTTATTTCGTTGCCCTATAAATACATAAATTTATAATAAAAAAAATCTTTTTTTACTGGGATTTCTACGTCCTCGGATATAGGTCTTCTCAAAGTAGGAAATTAGCTCAGATGAGCCATTCAATTCACCAAATATTTCTGCCAAAGTATCAAATGAGTTTCCAACATCATCATATGGGACATATGCAAGAGCCGATAAACACCTACTATACAATCGAAAGTCGTCATTCGACTCATACATCTCTTTTAATCCCAAATCGTTTATTTTTCTATTAACGCTCTGTTTTAGATGAAAATAACATCCAAGGATATCTGCGAGTGGATACCCAGCTCTAAACGCATTTATCGGTGCCTGTTCGAAATCCACCAATATTTTCCTCGGATGCGCCCCTGGTAGTAATTGTTTCAGCTCCTATAATAAAATTTAAATTACATCTCTTAAAATATATAATATGATTACTTTTATCATCCTTGCATATGTATGCGCCGTTTTATTTGGTAATAAGCAATATATACCAACAGGATTCGCGCCCGGTGCAATTTGAAAGTGGATGGTATAAAATTGGAAGAATATTTCAGGTACAATTTTAAAGGTACCATCACATATCCATATATCCGATCTTGATAATCCTTCGAGTAGTTCGTCCGTGCTCATCATTATATATCTTAAATTATCATCTGGCCCAAAATCGTATTTGAGCATATCCCTGTAACATTCCGGATATAAGAAAGTGAGATCCTTAGGGATAGGAGGCAATATAATGGTAGAGATCGATTTTTTATGCCTTTGTAAGGATCGATAAAGGGCAGACTTATTTGGCATAACCATCAAGGTATTATTATCATAATTTAACAATGTTGTTGCATGGACCAAAGAAGGACTAGAATATTCACTTAATTTGGATTTCATTTCTGATATTGCTTTTCGGGCATAAGATTTTGAAATGTTACCCTTATGAGTATGATGAAGGGGACCTTTTAAGATATCATTCAATTTTGTTGTAATAAAAGAATGGCATTTTAGAGATTTATATTTGGCGCATCTCCAGCATATTGATTCATTTTTATTTGTCCTAAATTTAGTATATTCGTAATTTTGATATAAAAGGGTAGGTTTATTTTTCGATGTAAATCCTAATTCAAACATTATAATTAATAAAAAAAATATTCTTTAATATATAATAATATAGAAAATTGAGGTATATATAGAAAAAAAAATATTATTATATTTATGGGTAAATACAAAACCTTAATTTGTAAAAATTATAAATCTTTGTAAAAAAACGATTAGCTTAAAAAATATCAAGAGATAAACACATTAATTTAAGTGTGGTGTTCTATTGATTTATAGTTACTTATTAATAAAAAGTATAAATAGAAAATTATTGCTTATGTCTCCTGTTTCCCTATATAAGATGATAATTAAGTTAAAAAAAATTATATTTATGTAAATTAAAATATGAGTTTTTCTCAATAAAAAAAATTAATTTAAATTTTTTAAATATTGGAATTTAGACGGAAAAGTCAAAAAAATGAAATATTATCAAAATTTAACTTTTCAAATATATAAAATTAAGTTTTAAGTATATCATGATGAAAGTCAAAAAATGAGATATTATCAAAATTTAACTTTTCAAATATATAAATTAAGTTTTAAGTATATCATGATTTTTTAAGTGTATTCTGGATATCCATAGTTGATATTGAATTGTATAAAACGATAGAATAAGTATAACAAAATAATATTTAAATTATTCAAAATTTCTTTATTTCTTATAATAATCTTTTTCTTTAAAACTTTGACAATTTTTTTTAATAATTTAATTATACAAAAATATATATTTTAAAAAAAATATATTATTATAATAATTATTATTTTTTTTACATTAAATAATAATAATTTTTTCCTCCAATCAGATGTCTACAATCCATCTGATTGACATTTGAGGCTTATATATATATATTTTATACATAATTAGAACAATGATGAAAGTCAAAAAATGAGATATTATCAAAATTTAACTTTTCAATTATAATAAATTAAGTTTTAAGTATATCATGATAAAATGTCGCGTGATAAAGTGTCGCGTTATCAAATGACTGAGTGATAAAGTGTCATCGTGATAGATAAAGTGTCGTCATGATAAAGTGTCGTCGTGATAAAGTGTCGTCGTGATAAAGTGTCGTCGTGATAAAGTGTCGCATGATAAAGTGTCGCATGATAAAGTGTCATGTGATAAAATGTCGCTAGGCGAATTTATTGGTTTCATATTTATTTTTGATTTACATTCGTCTATCAGTTTTTGAATGTCGTTGTTGTTATTTTCTTCTACTAAATTCACAAATTGATTAAGTATGTTTTTAAAAACTTTTATCCACGTCCTTCCCAAGAGTGCAATCTTGTCACTCTGTACTACATATGCATTCGAAATTTTGGTTTTATCATCGTATTAGGTTTTTACATTGGCATTGCCTATCACTTTTATTGCTCTTCCGTCATATCCAGTTAATTTAGTATCCGATTTATTTAAGATATTTATCCCAATCTTTCTTGCAATATTTATCGGTAATATTGTGAACCGCGATCCGGTATCAATTTGCATGATAATAGGTATGTCGTTTAAATATAACGTGACTTTATATGCATCATTTTCTTTGTTATTATCATCATTTAAATTGTTGATATCCAAGCAGAATAGATTGTATTCCTTGTTTTTTATTTTCTCAACTTCATTTTTTTCTGATTTGACGTTATTTTCCTCGTTTATTTCTTCTATGTTCACTATATTAACTTTATTCGTGTATCTTTGTTCATCGTTTTCATAGTTTTGATATCGATTGTTACGTGATTGATCGAAATTCTGATGACGATAATGTTGATATTCATCGTATCTAGGTCTAAACCTGAGCTCATTATAATATTTATTAAAATTGTAATTATTATTATTATTATAATTATTTTTAAATTTCGAAAATCTATTATACGATCTTGGTGTGTAATATCCTCTGTCGTTGTAAAATCTATTATTAAAATTATTTTGACAATGATACATTGGTTCATAATTATTCTGATGTCTTGGATAGTAATTACCTTGATATCTGTAATTGTAATTATTTTGCCATTGTTGATGATTGTTGTATCTAGGTGTCCAGGATTGTCCATAACTCCTATTCGTTGGTATGTTCGAATTGTATTTTATTATTTGTTTATTTGATTCTCTCTTTTCATCTTTTCTCCTTGTACTAACTTTATCGTCGAAGTTGATGCTGCTCCTTCTATTTTTATATTATCCATTTTAATATTTATATTTTCATAATCATCCCCATCATTTATTTCTCTCCCAATTCTTAATATGTCTGTAATAGTTATATTTTCTAATTTCGATATCTGCTCCCTAATTTTTTTATTACTTGACGATATTTTTATCTTCTCAATTATTCTCTCTTGATCCTTAAAATTGCATTTATTATTCAACTTACATAGTCTAGTTACCCATTTACCAAATGTTTCCCCTTTATCTTGAACGGCTGCGTTGAATTCCGTCCTGTACGTGTCTATTGATTTATCGGGATGTATTAGCCTGTATTTTTCCAGTAACATTTTCAAATCGTTGTAATCAGATGGAACGCAAATGGATTCCAGGTCCAAATAGTCTTCTTCTGGTAATCTTTGAATGAACGCATTAGCTTTTTCTGCCTCGGGAACCTGCGTGTCCTTTAATAAATTTTCAAACTTTTTAATGTATGTATCTATATTGTTATTGAATGTAGGATATTCTACATTACTTTTTATATTTGTTAACGATTTTGTCATTATAAATTTATAAAATATTTTATTGTTACCTTTATTTAATTTATATAATTTACAATTATTGTTTTATAATGATTAAAATTTTTCATATCTTTTAGCATTTATAATAAATTTGTTTCCTTCATCATCTTCGGCTTGTAGACTATTTATTGAGTCTTGGAACGACGCTGCCACCATTTTAATTTAGTGGAAGGCAACTGGAGAACTCTTTGTTGATTATAAAATTTAATTTTATTATATGTATCTATATACAAAATTTTTGTCATTATATACATTTTTTATAACAGCGTATTTACATGTTAACAAAGTACATTTGTCCTTTACAATTTCATTTTTCGTTACCGATTTTTTCTTATCTTTTATTACAGTGACCTTTTAAACTAAAAAAATAATATTCAATTTTGGTCATATTTAACATATTTAACAAAAACTATTTATTAGAAAAATTTATTATAATATTAACTGTAATATATTATATAACTGTCAAATACGTCTATAAAAGTGGGATTATATCTAATATTTTATAAATAACTGTATATAGTAGAGGATTATAAACTATATGTTTACTTTCTTTTTATAAATAAATCTCTTATACTTATTTGGACCTTGAAAATATTTTTAGGAATAGGTATGATAATAAAATTTAAAAATAAATATACAGTTGATTAGTCATTTTGAACTTGGTTAATTACAATATCTGATTTGTTAATTTTCAAATAATATATGGTTATACATATTTAATTAGGGTTATATAATAATTTAAATTCAATTAAACTTCAACTGTTAAAGCTAAATTAATATTTAGTGAGTTATTGATATTATATTTTTAATAGAGAATTCGATTGAAAGCAGACATAGTGAAAATATAATTTATATGTATTAATCTAATTTAATAAAAATTTAAATAGTCTTATTAATTTTAAAATAATAAAACTAAATCAATATATTACTTAATGGAATTATAAAAAAAATCATTCAGTGGGCAATCAAAAAAATTTATTTTTAGTTCAAGGGGATATTAAGGAGCCATTAAAAAATACATTTTTCCTTCAGGGGGCTATTCAAATTTCTCAGGGGGCTCAAGCCCCTGCGCCCCCCTAACGACGCCACTGTATATTACATCTTAAAATAATAGTAGTTTGCATTAATATCAAAAATATACTCGTGTATTAAAAATTTAACTCAAAACTGTTTTTCAAAGAAGAAAAAATTAGCTTTCCTAAATACACATAAATAAAGAGAAGAAAAGATATATAAGTTATTATAACCATTGTGGGATGAATAATAAATATGTTTACTTTTAATAATACTTTTAAATAAATAGATTGCGTTAAAGAATTAAAATTGTTACTTATATTTATTATTAAAAGCATTTATTAGTAAAAATTTTTAAAATATTAACTATAATATATTATATAACTGTTAAATATGTCTGAAGTGACATTTAACATAATATTTTATAATTAATTATATATAATAGAGGATTATAAAGTATATGTCTACTTACTTTTTATAAAGAAATCTCATACTTATATGGACTTTTAAAATATTTTTAGGAAGAGGCATGGTAATTAAATTTGAAAATGAATATTATAGTTGATTAGTGATTTTGAACTCGGCTAATTACAATAATTTTCAATTAATAAATTATTATATTAATTTAATTAGGATTATATTATATTTTAAATAATAAAAGTCATTTAAACTTCAACTGCTAATGCTAAATTAATATTTAGTGAGTGATATTTATATTTTATTTTTAACATATGATTGCAAGTAGGCCTAAAACGAGTTATTTGTTATTTGATATTCGATTCGATTCAATATGAATAATGAGGAAAATTATTCGTATTATTCGAAATTATTTATATATAAATATTCGTAATTATTCGCAAATATTTTATTGCAAGTAAAATAAAAAGAAGTAATTAAATTTTCCTAGTGGATATCATTTCGTTTTATTTTATTTCCTATTATCAAATATCAAATCATAACAAGTTATATTTGCTAAAAAGTTTAATGAAGAAAAGGAAAAGCTTCAAAGTAAAATATAATTATTTTATTTTGATTGTTTCTCTTTAATCATTTTTGATGTTATGAACAAGTCAAAACACTTTTATAGAGTGTGCCTCTTTCCCATATTCTCGAGCTCCTGGCAGATAAATAAGTAAATTTTTTTTGACTAGTTCTTATTATTTGATTAGGAAAATCCTTTTCCCATTTAGTAATCTTATTTTTGGCAAATTTTAAAGACAATCTAATTCAGATAGTGCATTATAATATCTTCATCCTCTATTACATTGTCATAATCACCTCTAAAAATTATATTAATAATTAAATAAAGGAAATTTATACTACTAAAGTATTTTTTTATATTAAATAAAATCTATAATGAAATACTTTCTAAAATTTTGTTATATTTTATATGCAAATATTTAAAATTTAGATTATTTAAATAGATTATAATTTAAAAAATTTTATTTTTTCATAATCACCTTCACCTCTAACTAATAAAATGATATTAATAATAAAAATAAATACATGATTAAATAAAGGAAATTTATGCTACTAAAGTATTTTTAATAAATAAAATCTATAATGAAATACTTTCTAAAATTTTGTTATATTTTATATGCAAATATTTAAAATGTAGATATTTTAAATAGATTATAATTTAAAAAATTTTATTTTGTCATGATCACCTTCACCTCTAATAAAATGATATTAATAATAAAAATAAATACATGATTAAATAAAGGAAATTTATGCTACTAAAGTATTTTTAATAAATAAAATCTATAATGAAATATTTTCTAAAATTTTGTTATATTTTATATGTAAATATTTAAAATAAATTTTAAAATGTAGATATTTTATATAGATTATAATTTAAAAAATTTTATTTTGTCATAATCACCTTCACCTCTAATAAAATGATATTAATAATAAAAATAAATACATGATTAAATAAAGGAAATTCATGCTACTAAAGTATTTTTATATAATAAATAAAATCTATAATGAAATACTCTCTAAAATTTATTATATATTATGCAAATATTTAAAATAAATTTTAAAATGTAGATATTTTATATAGATTATTTTAAAATTTTTATTATATAAAAACTATTTAAAAAAAATATAATTTAATAATTACATAAAATATAAATTTAAAAAAATATATAAATAATACACTGTACTTTGATTAAAATAGTATTTCCATAAATTTTAAGAATTAATACAAAAATTAAATAAATGTTATAACTAAGAATTTATTTTACAAAAATAAATATTATTTAAAACTTATATTATCATATTGCTATTTTTGATTTGAATTTATAAAGAAAGGTCTAATTTTCTCTAAGGTTTTGCTAATTCATAATAGGAATAAAAATAGTAAATTAAAATAATTTTATTTTTTAAAAAAAGACCCCCCCCCCCATGCATATGCCACTGTTTAATTAATTTATTGTTTTTTTCTTTCAGCTTCTAATGTGTCATTAATCTGGAATTTCAGGAAGGATGGTAAACTTGGATTTTATATGATATATGTTAAAATATATTCAAAGATCAATTAGAAAATCTTGATGGAAGAAGATGTGGCGAAGGACATAGTCAATCCTCAAATAGTTCAAGATCTACATCTCTCTGATCAAACTGAACCTTTTAATGCTAGGCGGAAAAATTCTTTAATATGGAATCATTATCTCCATGATGCTAAAAAAGAAACAGCTAAATGTAAAATATGCAATGTGGAGATAATGTGCAAGAAAAAAACTACATCAGCACTAATTAATCATAACAAAAGATTTCATCAAAAACAAAATAATACTATTAGAAACTATTTAAATGATATACCCAAAACAAATGCTTATGATGTTAAGCATTATTTATTAAAATTTTTGCTAAAGTCAAATATACCTTTTAAAATTCTCACCACTCAGGAATTCAAGTCCTTCATTAGAGCTTTAAATCCTGAAATAAAAATATGCTCAATACCGTCAATTAAACTATATATGAATGAAATTTTTAATAAAGAATTCAATAAAGTTAAAATAATTATAAATAATTTAAAATGCCAAATTAACTTTACAACTGATATATGATCAAGCCCTACTAATGTACCATTTTTAGGGTTGACCTGCCACTTTATTGATGAAAAATGGGAGATGAAATCATTGTTATTGGATATAGTTCCATTTACTGATTCGCATTTTGGTGAAAATATTTATAGAGAGTTTTCTCAAATTATAAAAAAATATAATATCGACATAAGTAAGATAGCAATTACTTGCGATAATGGTAGCTCTAATTCTACTTTCATAAAGATTCTTCGTATAAAACACCCAAATTGTGAAATTTTACATATGCCATGTTTTGCACATGTACTCAATTTAGTAGTACAGGAAATACTTAAGAAAGTAGACAGGCAAGTATCAAAATTAAGAACAATCATAAAGATTATTATCAATTCTTTTACAAAGACAAATATTATGCAAAATGTGTAAAATTAAAATTAGACACATCCATCAGATGGAATAGCTCTTATTTAATGGTCGAAAGAGCTATTAAAATGAGAAGGGCTATTGATGAAGTTGTAACTCAGATATATGATGATATATCTGATATCTCCCTTTCTACATTTTGGGATTTTTTTACCCCCCCCCCCCCCCCGAGCGAAGTAATTTAATTTTATTTACTAATTATTATTTTTTATCAGGATGATTGGACTACTTTAATAAACATACAAAACAAATTAAAGACTTTTTTTGATTTTACCGAAGATATATGTGGTGACACATATCCTACCCTAAATCTTGTCATCCCTTTCTATGTTTCTTTAATCGAACATTTAAATTCATTTGATCTCGATTTTATAAACTCTATCAGTGCGATTGAGAAAATATAAACTTATTATAACTTAACAAATATTCACACTATAATATCAACAATACTGGATCCTAGACTAAAAATGGAATTTTTTGAGCAACTACCAACTACAT